CCCACCCAATCCACCCAAGATCAGAGGCCCCAACCTGCCAGGGTGCCTGGCCCTGTGACCCCACGCTGGCCTACCTGTCCATGTGACTCTTCTCCAGCAGACACTGCAAGACGGCATCCAGTTGGTTCCGGGCTTTGGCCATCTCCAGCTCTGGGGCAAGAGGGAACCCAGCAGGAGTCAGCTCCCAGGCCCCAGCTAAGTGGACAGCGGACTGGGTCAGGGAGGGGCATGCGTGCCACCTGCCCTGGCCAATCTCAGAGCCAGGCCCAGGCAGCCTGAAAGGGTGCAGCAGGCAGAGATGGCTGGAGTGATGCCAAGAGCTCTGAGTTCCAGAGCTGTCCCGCCCAATCGCACTGTGACAGGAGGCAAAGCCAATCACCTTACCTTATGAGCCTTTTGGGTTTTAAAAAAATGTGTTTTAATATGATATAAATATATTAGAAAAAATTATATAGAGGTGGAGTCTCACGATATTGACCAGGCTGGTCTTGAACTCCTGGATTCCAGTGAGCCATCTCGGCTTCCCAAAGTGCTGGGATTACCGGTGTGGGCCACTGTGCCTGTCCCAGTTGCAAGGTTTAAATACCTATGTATTATACATGATAACTCACTGAATTATCACAATAACTCTTAGGGGTAGATGTGATTTTTTTTTCCTTGAGAAAGGATCTCATGATGTTGTCCAGACTGGTTTTGAACTCCTGGGCTCAAGTGATCCTGCTGTCTCAGCCTCCCAAATAGCTGGGGCTATAAGCACGTGCCATAGAGCCTGGCTCAGATAGATATGATTTTTATTCGTATTTTAAAAAGAATGAAACTGAGGCACAGAGATGTTAGGCCACATGCTCAAAGGCACACAGTAAAGAAATTGCAGAGCTGATGATTTGAACCCAGGCTGTCTGGTTCCAAAGCTGAAGTTATGAGACAGAGGCTCAACCTGAGTGCAGAATCTGGTTGAGGCAGTGGTATAACTTTATTTTAATTAATTAATGTATTTATGTTTTGTGAGACGGAGTCTTGCTCTGTCACCCAGGCTGGAATGCAGTGGCATAATCTTGGCTCACTGCAACCTCCACCTCCTAGGTTCAAGCGATTCTCCTGCCTCAGCCTCCCAAGTAGCTGGGATTACAGGAGCCCACCACCATGCCTGGCTAATTTTTGTATTTTTAGTAGAGATGGGGTCTTACCACGTTGACCAAGCTGGTCTCGAACTCCTGACCTCAGTGATCCGCTGGCCTCGTCGTCCCAAAGTGCTGGGATTACAGGCCACCACACCCGGCCAACAGTGTGAGCCACCACACCCGGCCAACAGTGGTATAATTTTAAATCTGAATTCAATCTGAATGAGCTGACATTTAAAAATTGGGAGATTTCTTTTCTTTTGAGACAGAGTCTTGCTCTGTTGCCCAGGTTGGAGTGCAGTGGCGTGATCTAGGCTCACTGCCACCTCTGCCTCCCGAGTACAAGTGATTCTCCTGCCTCAGCCTCTCAAGCAGCTGGGACTACAGGCGTGTGCCACCATGCCCAACTAATATTTGTATTTTTAGTACAGACAGGGTTTCACCATATTAACCAGGTTGGTCTCAAACTCCTGACCTCATGATCCACCCACCTCAGCCTCCCAAAGTGCTGGGATTACAGGCATGAGCCACCATGCCCGGCCAAAATTGGGAGATTTCACCTAAAACATCCTGTTTGGGCTTTTTTTTCCCCCTCAGGAAATGAGATGTAGGCCCACCCTCCTGCCCAGTGAGCCTGTGGCTGCCTCCCATCATCACAGAACTTGAGGGAGTGATGATGTTATGCTGTCCTACCTTTGAGAGGTGTTTGCTCTGCCTTTCTGACTGGTGGGAGCTCTGGCTCTAGTGCTCAGAGCCAGGAGGGGACACCTGGGAACTTGCCTGACCAGTCCAGGGACTTCCTGAGAAGCTCAGGAGACACAGGGATTCAAACATAGCTCAGAGGAAAGACAGAGTGAGGGTGGGGAAGGGAGTAGCTGAGATTGCAGCAAAGCCTTGGGCGGATGCAGAGGGTACGGATCTCTCCCCAGGCCCAGCTTCTCTCCTGAACCCCCGACTTGGGCCTGAAGCCTCCCTCTCAAGGGTCGCCTCACTGTCCCCAAGTTCCTCTCTGTACCTCACCATGAATACCCCTCTCTCTCCCCTACCCCAGCCCAGCAATCCCATGACCTGTCCACTAGGCCTCCCTAGTGTCTCTCCCCCCTACCTCCTCTCCACTCTACCCATGCTAGTCCAGACCTTTGCTCCCCCTGGGCTCCCACCTCAGTGTCCCCTTCTGATCCACCCTCCACAAGGCAGCCAGGGGAATCTTCCAGAAAAATAACAAACCTGACCCTGATCTTCCCCTGCTTGGAACCTTCCATTGGAACCTTCCATGACTCTACAGCACCCAGGGGTGGAGTCTGCACTCCTCAGCCTGGTACTAAGAGATGTATACCTTCCCTCACCATCATTTGTGGTCAGACCCACTTCACTTTTCTTTCTTTTTTTTTCTTTTCTTTTCTTCTTTCTTTTTCTTTCTTTCCTTCCTTCCTTTTCTTTCTTTCTCCTTTCCTTTTCCTTTCCTTTCCTTTTTCCTTCCTTTATCCTTCCTTCCTTCCCTCCCTCCCTTTTCTTTCTTTCTCTCTCTCTCTTTTTTCCTTCGTTTTTTGGTTTTTTCTTTGTTTGTTTGTTTGTTTTTTCAGTGTCTCAATCTATCACCCAGGCTGGAGTGCAGTGGTGTGATCTCAGCTCACTGCAACCTCCACCTCCCCGGCTCCAGCGATCTTCCTGCCTCAGCCTCCTGAGTAGCTGGGACTAGAGGCTCGTGCCACCACACCTGGATAATTTTCTTTCTTTCTTTCTTTTTTTTTTTTTTTTGTATTTTTTATAGAGACAGGGTTTTGCCATGTTGCCCAGGCTGGTCTCAAACTCCTGACCTCAAGTGATCTGCCGGCCTCGGCCTCCCAAAGTGTTGGGATTACAGGCGTGGGCCACCACACCTGGCCTCCCACTTTGTTTTGATAACACTTTTGCCATGGGACATCCTACATCATTTTACTATTATCTTTCTGTCTAAATTCTGCACCCCTCCCACTGCCCTTACCATGCCAGGCCTGCGATCCGGTCAGCTCTGCCCCAACCCAAAATGATCTAAGTTTCAGTTTCCCCAATGACCACAATTCCTATTTCCTAGGATTACTGGAATATAGTGACTGTGAGGATTAAGAGTGCCTGTACTTCAGGCTCACAGCAAGTATGTGTGACTGATCACTGCTGGAAATGGGGAAACTGAGGGGAAGCCAAGAAAAGAGAACTTCTCGGCCGGGCGCGGGGGCTCACGCCTGTAATCTCAGCACTTTAGGAAGCTAAGGCGGGAGGATCACTTGAGGACAGGAGTTCGAGACCAGCCTGGGCAATATAGCGATACTCCGTCTCTACTTAAATATTTAAAAAATTTAGATTAAAAAAAAGAGAAAAGGGCCCTTCTCAGAGTTACCGGCTCAGGATTCCCCATATCTTACCACGCACCACACTGCCTGAGCCACCACCATTCAATCTCAAAGCGACTTCAAGCGCAGACCGGGAGGGTGTGAAGGTGGCAGCCAACGCTCGCTGTCTGATATAGCGATTGTCAGGTGGGCTGCAGGGAAAAGTCGTGCAGTCCCCTTTCCGCGATACTCCCTTCTACCGGGACTCCACACCCTGTCAACCCGATGGTCCCGACAGGCCCCCGACGTCAGGGTCCTCACCTGATTTCTCCACTTTCACCTTCACGGGGAACATGGTTTGGGTCCAGGATCTGGCTAGCTGGGTCAGAGGCGCCCCAAAGGGCCTAGGGTCACAAATCAAGGCGGCAGGCGGGCGGGGACAGTTCAAAGATGAGCTTCGTAGGCCACAGCTCCTCCGCCTTTGGTTGTGTTCAGCCTGGACCATGGCCACCACCCTTCTGTGGGCGGGCCCCTTCGGCAGCAGCTTGCTCCTATTAGTTAATGCAGTCGTCAATCTTACATCCTGACCAATTGAGAGCTGCCTCCGTAGTCTCCCAGCTTTAGGTCCCACCCTCCTGGGGCTTTGCTTCCGGAAACAAACCATCGACCACCAAGCTTCCTGGGAGGTGTAGTTCCAGGTTCCCAGACCCACCCGGAGTAACAGCGCCTGCGCCGCGCGGGGCACGGTGGGAAACAAAGGATTAGGGCATCGCGAGGCTTCCCGGGACTTGTAGTGTTAGAAGGGTTGAGCAACACCAATTTAGCTCTTTACCATATTTAACCAACCGTTGGAGTCCCTTCATCCCTAAGAGGAAGACTAATGTAAAATAACGTTGGGTTCCCTCTCACTGAGCACTCTCTAGGTGACAGGTACCAGTTAATCTCTTTGCAGGTACAACTTCATTCATTTTGCAAATATTTATTAGTATGCCGGGCACTCTTCTAGGCATTGGGGACACCTTGAGGAACAGAACAGACAAAAATCCCTGCCCTAATAGGGCTTATCTTTTAAAGGATGGAAGATAAACAGTAAACAAGTAAAACATTCTAAGTGAAATGTAATAGGAGAAAGAATATAGTCTGGGCGGGGCACGGTGGCCCACACCTGTAAGTATCAGCCCTTTGGGAGGCCGAGGCGGGCAGATCACCTGCGACCAGGAGTTCGAGACCAGCCTGGCCAACATGGTGAAACCCCGTCTCTACCAAAAATACAAAAATTAGCCGGGACTGATGGCATGCCCCTGTAATTCCAGCTACTCCAGAGGCTGAGGCAGGAGAATCGCTTGAACCCGGGAGGCGTAGGTTGCAGTGAGCTGAGATCACACGTCTGCACTCCAGCCTGAGTGACAGAGCAAGACTCCATCTCGAAAAACAGACAACAACAAATCCCCAGCCCCCCACCAAAAAAAAAAAAACCCACAAAAAAAGTGTAGCCTTAAACGGACATAGGAATATCAAGGTGGTGATTGAATTTTAAATAAGATGGATGGTCAAGGAAGGATTCTCTGAGAAAGCTCTTGACTATTTTTATTTTTGCAGACAACACTTCCTTCAGAAAACGGGAAACTTGGATTTATCACACATCTTGGTCCAAATAAATCCTAGGAGGTAGCATTGTGATCTACACTTCTGATGAGAATACTGAAGCCCACAGTAGGAAAGTTATGTTTTTGAATTCACGACTACCAGTACAGGGTAACAGCCCCTAGAAATGGAAGCACTAGACCAATTGTACCACTGCATTCCAGCCTGGGCAACAGAGCAAGACTGTCTCAAAAAAAAAAAAAAAAAAAAAAAACACGGAAGCACTATTCCTTTCTTAGTTCCTCATCTAATAGTTTCCTGAGCAGGAAAGTTCCTAGTTCAGAAGATTATGAGTAGTATTTACTGTAAAAAATGTACATCATGTCTAAATACTAAGCCTGGCACAAAGCACTCAACAAATGTTTTTAAATATTAATAATCATTTATGCCTCAACCTCTAAAAGATCCCAGGAAGTCAGTATCGAAAGTTAGGGTCCTTTATTGGGTGATGTCAGCAGAGAACAGGGGAGATGAAAACAAGTCTTAGGAGTTTGAGAAGGTGCTCCCAGGACAGGCTCCTCTGCTCTAAGGAGCCTGTCCTGGGAGAATGAGCAGGGTTCCAGTCTGTGCAGAAGTTGTCAGGGGGTGCCCAGAGGTATGGTGAAGGAGAGGTAGTCCCCAAGGGCACCCCAGCGGGGCCGGTAGATCTGGAAGATGGTGATCCAGGAGGTGAGCACTATCACCCAGAAGAGGAAGCCCACAGCTGAGCGCCAGACATCTGTCATGGGAAACAGAAGTGGGAAGGGTTGGCCTCCTGCTGCTCTCCAGACTTCCCTAGACAAGCCTTCCCTTCTCACCCAGAGCCCCAAAATTCTGGATCCTCCATTGTCCCTTCCCACGAAGACTCCCCCGCTTCCCCCTCTCCCCAACCACTGGCCTCCCTCCTCTGTACTCTGGACTCACAGCCTTTGATTTGGCTCTGTTCTGTGTAGGCTGGGACAAGGAAGGCCTCTCGGAAGAACCAGAAGATGTTGACCAACCAGAGAAAAGGCAGGAAAGCAAACCCACCTAGGGAGAAAGAAAAAAAAACCACACAAACCCTAAAACCTCATAAGGCAATGAAGATCTCCAACTCCCACCCAGATCTATTTGGAAGAAACTCTCCCACACTCAAGTTCAAATGGAGATTTCTGCTGTCAGGGACTCAGGAATCTGCCTCCTCTTTGGGATCCAGCAATTTGATTCCTCAACCATCTCTTTCGCTGGACCCAAGAGTCCAGGCCCTCAATCCCCCTCCTCTCTTGGGATCCAGAAACTGAGGCCCCAGCTTCCTCATTCCTCAGGACCCAGGCCCTCCCCGCTCAAATCCAGGAGTTGGCGTTCACAGGTGCTTCATCTCTTAGACTCACGAATCCAGGCCCCGAGGCCCTCTTCCCTCGGGTGCTCTAGTCCAGTCCCCTCTCTTTTCCTGGGACCCTAGTGATCTGCCCTTACCCAGGTAGTACTTCCGGCACAGGTTCAACTTCTCCTCATTGGACACTCGCTCCAGGTTCATAGCTGCGCTGGGGCCGGGTCGTCCCAAGGGTCTGCGGGGCAAGACCCAAGCCTTGACCCTAAGTAACAGATGCAAGGATCACGAACAACCACGCCCCTATTACAACAAATCAGAGATAAATGTAAAGGTGGGTTTGCTAAAAGCAGAGCATCCCCGCCCCCACTAGCAAGCTGGCTAGATTAAAGAGCTCTTTATATTTACTAGGGTGGGCGAAACGACCCCCAACTTACCGGGAGAGCTCACTTCCTCCGGCTGGGATGCCTTAGCCACTTTCAGTTACGGACGTATGCGCGAGATGCCCCAGGTTTCCCTGGAGATTGTAGTCTTCCTTGGGCGAGGCAACACTGCACGCATGCGCCGTTGAGAGAATTCCTGCCGGGGAGTCGCGCGTCTCCCACGCGCAAGCGCCCTGGGGCGTTTCCGAGAGCTTGGTAAGCGCCTGGAGGGGGCAACGAACTACACTTCCCAGCGCTCCTAAGCAACGGAAGTGATGTAAGAGCAGCCAGAATTGGAGGGCTTGGGTAAAAATGGGTGAATATTTAGCTTCGATATTCGGAACTGAGAAGGACAAGTGAGAACGGGCGCTGGGAGTGGACTCTCGGGGGGTCGAGGCCGGGGTACTGGGGTCCTGGGTGGTGGGGCGGTGTTTCTGGGGTGTCCCGCCTCCCCAGCCCTCGGTTCACCTCTGTCTTTGCACCTCTTCCAGGGTTAACTGCTCTTTTTACTTTAAGATCGGGGCCTGCCGGCACGGAGACCGGTGCTCCCGGCTTCACAACAAGCCGACATTCAGCCAGGTGAGACCCGGCACGGTGCTTCTGGAGTTAACGCCTCCTTGGCCCTTCCTCTTCTGGGGCCGTAGTCACCATGTCCCGCCTATTCCGAGTTCCTGAGGCCCTCCCTACCGCCCGGCTTTTTTTCTGATTGGACCTTTCTGCAGGCTCCTCCCACCAGTCTTCCTACCCGTCTCCTGGGAACTTGGTCGCGCCCCCCTGCGTACACCCTACACACCGCGGCTGTTCGTCCTTGTCAGTCCCCTCCATCCCGTTTCTGGTTTCTTAGGGGAAAAGGATCGCCGATACACTCACCATGCTTAGGCTGGGGTGCAAGGTTCCACCCCCAACCTTCATGCCTCACTCTCTTTGCATGCAGCCCTGCCCTCTGAGCTCAGGCCCCGCCCCTTTTAAATTCTGTGCAGACCATAGTGCTGCTCAACCTGTACCGGAATCCACAGAATAGAGCCCAAACTGCAGACGGATCACACTGTGAGTAAGGGACCAGGCCTGGGGGCAAGGTGAATAGTCCCCAGTAGGCTACGCCCTGATTCCACCCTACCCCCCTCCCCCAGGTCATGTGAGGGACGTGGAGGTGCAGGAGCACTATGATAGCTTCTTCGAGGTGAGGGTTGGCAGGGGTAGGTTGGGTTTCTTGTGGGAGCTCAGCTGAGTTCCTCTCCGTCTTCCACAGGAGGGGTTCACAGAATTGCAGGAGAAGTATGGGGAGATTGAAGAGATGAATGTGTGCAACAACCTTGGGGACCACCTCGTGGGCAACGTCTATGTCAAGGTGCTTGCTGTCCCCCACTTAGGGCCCAGAGGTGGAGGCATTTCAATGCCTGATGGTGGCCACTGAAGGCTCTCAGCTTGAAGTTCATCACTAAATCCAGTCCAGCCCCAGAGCTGCTAATGAGTACCCTGAAGATCTCTGAGTTCTCCTGCTGACCCCGACTGACGTTTCCTGCAGTTCCGGCGGGAAGAGGATGCAGAGCGGGCCGTGGCTGAACTCAATAACCGCTGGTTCAATGGGCAGGCTGTGCACGCTGAACTGTCTCCTGTCACTGACTTTCGGGAGTCATGCTGTCGCCAGTATGAGATGGGGTATGGTAGTTCAAGGGTGGGATGGGCACTTGGAATCCCAGACTTTGAATGTGTGGTAGGGACTGTCAGTGACAATGGCCTCCTCCATCTCTCTATGCAGGGAATGTACCCGAGGTGGCTTCTGCAACTTCATGCATCTGCGGCCCATTTCCCGGAACCTCCGGAGGCAGCTCTATGGGCGGGGACCCAGGCGCAGGTACCTCAGGACCAGCCTGCTATGTCTCCTCATGTCCTAAGGCCCCTATATCCTCAGATGAGCCTGACCCTAAGCCCTAGTAACAACGTTCCCGAGACTCTTTTTTTTTTGAGATGGAGACTCGCTCTGTCGCCCGGCCTGGAGTGCAGTGGCACGATCTTGGCTCACTGCAACCTCTGCCTCCCAGGTTCAAGCAATTCTCTGCCTCAGCCTCCCAAGTAGCTGGGATTACAGGTGCCCGCCACCATGCCCGTCTAATTTTTGTATTTTTAGTAGAGACGGGGTTTCACCATCTTGGCCAGGCTGGTCTGAACTCCTAACCTCGTGATCCACCTGCCTCACTCTCCCAAAGTGCTGGGATTACAGGTGTGAGCCACCACTCCTGGCTGACTCTTTTTTTTTTTTTTTTTTGAGACGGAGTTTTGCTCTTCTTCCCTAGGCTGGAGTGCAAAGGCACGGTCTCGGCTCACTGCAACCTCTGCCTCCCAGGTTCAAGCAATTCCCCTTTCTCAGCCTTCCAAGTAGCTGGGATTACAGGTGCCCACCACCACGCCTGGCTAATTTTTGTATTTTTAGTAGAGACAGGGTTTCACCATGTTGGCCAGGCTGGTCTCGAACTCCCGACCTCAGGTAATCCACCCATCTTGGCCTCCCAAAGTGTGGGGATTACAGGCGTGAGCCACGGCACCTGGTCATTCCCAAGACTCTTACACCCTAAGAGTAGTTCTGAGCCCCATCTGGAGACCAGTACCTAAGTCCCAATCCCCAAACCAGCCTGAACCCTTAATCCACGACTAGCCTGGCCTGATACTGGCCACTGAGTACCAGTCTGATACTGGCCACTGAGTACCCCGATGCTGGCCACTGAGGCCATGTTTTAGAACTCTAGTTATTTCAGCACCCTCCTGCCTCATCCCAGAGCAGAGAGGCAGGCCTGCAGGATCTCTGCACCACTCCTCAGCATTCTAACCTAACTCTCAACACTCCTATTCCTGGGTCACCCCCAAGGTTCCATACTAGCCACTGTCCCCGAGAGGGGAACCGTCGGCATTCCCCTGATCACCGGCATGGCCGCTTCTGAGGCCCTGGCCCCCTTACCCTCTTACCCTTCACCCCGGACAGGGACAAATATTTCTGGCAGGACCTCTCCTCAAAGCCCCCTTCACTCTCCTGGCCCATCTTTCCCAGGCTCCCGGGCTCCATAATGTAATCTGTTCAGCATGGAGACTTTCTTCTACCGCCCTTGTCTTAATAAAGCTCCGTGTTTTGCTTCGGTATCAACTTGCTTTTGCTGTGGTTTGGCATTTCCCTCCACCCACACATGTGACGAAAAGGGGAAACAAGACTGGGTCCCGGCCACAACTTCAGCTGAGGAACTTGGCACGGGCAGCTTGGGACCCAGGACCCTAACGGTACTGGTAGGGTGGGGACACCTTTGTGCTGAAAACCTTGGCACCTCCATCTGAGGCTTATTCAAGGGGGAGAGACCTGGTTGTGGCAGGTGGGAGGAGTCCTAGCCCCAAGGAGATGAGGATTGGAAGGTGAGGTGAGGTGAGGTGCTGGGAGGTGGTCTCAGTCAGTACAGGGCTGTCTCCTCCGTCCCTGCCAAATTGAGATGGGAGTAATGCCTTACACTTAAACATTGAGTTTACTATATGTGAGGTGCTATTTCCAGCACTTTAGCTTGTTTGTTTTGTTTTTTTTAAAGAGTTTCACTCTTGGCCGGGCTCAGTGGCTCAAGCCTGTAATCCCAGCACTTTGGGAGGCCGAGACGGGCGGATCACGAGGTCAGGAGATCGAGACCATCCTGGCTAACATAG